TATATTAATAAAAAATTTTATTTGGTTGATAAAAAAATAATAATTGGGCTAGTGACACTTTCTTTTTCTTTCTTTCTTTTTTCTTTTTTTTTTTTTTGTGATTTGTTAACATTTTGAGTTTTACTTATTACTAATAATGAGATTTCATATAAATAGTAAAAATTTATGTGGTACGGACTTAATCATATCAAGAGTGCTTAAAAAAGTGTCAAAAGAGTGTTGATGGAATTTTTATTTACTAGTAGCAGTATATTTGTCTGCGCATTATTGATGTCATTGTGATCATTAGAGCAATTGGAGATGCAAAGCACTTGTTTTTAGTACTATTTTCACTTACCAAGTTTATTAATGATTTGTTACTTCGAGTGAAATAAATTTAATTTTTTTGAAATAAATTTAATTTTTTAAAAATAAAATCTTAAATTTGGATTTTGTAAATGAAGAAATAAATGTTGAAAAAACTTTTCTTTCATAAGATCTAACGCAGTTCAATTTTAGATTAATCAAAATGCTATATGATTAATAGTAACTAAAAAATTAATAAAAAAAATCAAGTTTAGAATATTTTTAAAGAGAAATATTTAAAGTTAATTTTTAAAATAAATTTAAAATAAATTTTATTAAAAAGTAAGCATTTAATTTTTTAAAAAAATTTATTCAAAATTTATTTTAAAAAATAATTTTTTTAAACTTGTAAAACATGTATATTATTTTTAAAACAAAAAATACTTTTTAAAGCCCCATCATATATTTACCAAAAAACGAAAAGATTAAATGTTAAATTTGATCCCTCAACTTTAGTGAGTTGCACATTTTTAACCCTCAAAAAATCCTTGGAACTTTTTTAACCCTCAACTATAAAAAATGCACTCCATTAGTCCTTCCATCAATTTTCGCCGTTAACTCAACCACATGGCATTTTTTATATTTTTTTTATGACATGACGAAAATAACTTAAAAAGACGCTGATTTGGACTTTTTTGACGACATGTCATCTTCCTTTCTCATCTTCACTCTCTGCAGAATCAATCTCCACTCCATCTGCAGTATCAATCTTAAACCATTTCTTTTTCTTCTCAAAATGCTTTCTCATCTCCACTCCACTACAAAACCGATCTTAACCCATTTTTTCTTCTTCTCTTTTCTCAAGAGAACTTGAGAAATTGAACCCAACTACTGAGTTTCATTGAAACCTCAAACTTAGTAGATCTTATCAAATCAAATTAACCCTTCAATAAACAATATCAATCAAACTCTAATCAAATTCCAACAAAAATATAATCAAATTGTAAATCAACTCTCAAATTTATTAACAACTAGAAATGAAAATAGAAAAAAGAATGAAAAAACATGAATCCAACATCGAAACAGCAAAGCTGGGTTCATCGGAACCCGACTGGGTTTGGGGAAACCCAACCTGCTGGGTCTCGTCGAAACCTAGCAAGGGAGACCCAGCCAGGCTGGGTTCGTCGCAGCCATCAGAATCCAGCCTGGTGGAGACCCAAGGCAGGAAAGAAAGAAAGAGAAAGAAAGAAGGGGAAGAAGAGGGATTGGGTGGGTGAGGGTAATTAGGTAATTTTATTTATTTTTATTTAAACTATAAATATTAATCTATGTGTTATTTTTATTTATTTATATAACATAATTAAAATATATATTATTGCCACATCATCAAAAAAATTAAAAGATAATGCCACATGCAATTATTTAACTGACACATCATACTTAACTGACAGAGGGACTAAAATTGTGTAATTTTTGGTGTCGAGGGATAAAAAAAATGTAAAAAATTATTGAAGGATAAAAAATGTGTATTTTTTAAAGTTGAAGGACTAAATTTAACATTTAACCAAACAAAAAAGCCCCATCATATGCCTCCTGCCGGAAAAAAAGGGGAACGCAATTACGCAAACTTGTACGGTGAAGCTGAGGAGCCACAAGTAGTGGGCCACCAACACTATATTCCGTTCCTAAAATTGGGCCCAGTTTAAGGCCCATTATCTGACAAATACGGCCCATGAGAGCTCAGTGCATTGAATCCCACATCTGCATGCTCGTGGTCCCACCCAGTCCCACCCAAACCACCTTGTGATACTTTAATTTCCACTTCTAGTGGACCATAGCAAGCAAATCATATTTACTTCCAAGGCCCAATATGCAACCATTTACATTTATTTTACTTTATTTTTTGAGATATGTCTCTTTCTATATCCAAAGGTCTATATCTATAAATAAATTTGTGTTGTTTAGGAAAATCATCGAGTAATAATTTTTATGTATAATTTTTTAATATTTTTTTTATAATTTTGATTGCATAATAAAAAGTAACAATCTTTTATTTTTTATTTTACTTTACTCTCATGTTATGCGATTCAAATTTAAAATCTTTTACTTCTAACGAAAGAAAATAATTACTGAGTTATTTAAGTCGTTAACATAATTTTTTAATATAATTTTATATATTATTTAATAATTATTTTTTATTTTCTTAACATATAATATTAAATTTATCCACATATTTATTAATATGTAAATTTTTTTAATAATAATTATAAAATAAATTATACACAAATCATTATCTTTATTTTGTAGGTCAAATTTATAATTAAAGTTTATAGTCAATATCTAAAGAAATTTTATTTTCCTAAATTAAGTATACTAGATTAAAGGCTAAAGTAACCTGATAAAGAATTAGTTTTAGAGTGCAGATAAATTAGTTTAGAGACACTTGATTGTCAATCTAAAGCAAATTTGATTCGTTTTTTGTAATTTTATTTTTTATTTTATTTGTGAAATTATGTACTTAATTGGGAATTATTTTTCTTTATAGAGGCAGACGTGTAGCACGTGTTTAGACCGTTTCTTAAGTCTGCAAATGATGGGTGGTTTTCTCATTCTATGTACACACAAAGTTATAAATTAATGAATTTTTTTTTTTGCTCTTCATTTTTTTTTTTTTTAACATAAGAAACTACGAGGGAATGATGAATTTTATCAAATAATTGGTGAGAATCGAACTCATGACTAATTAAATCTAAGCATTATAGTTTGAGGATGAATTATTGAGTTTGAAAGTTCGGTTTTTTTTTTTTTTTTTTGAGCAAAATCATTTACAAACTCAAATAACCATAAACTCAAATTTAATATTTATTTCTAGGTGAAAAAGACTACGACCAAGGAACTAAGATAGTTGATGGCAAAACAAATTAAAATTAAAATAGCAATTATTAGTAAAATAAAGTTAATATACACATTACACAGTCCTATTTTATAATTAAAGTTAATTGATGATAGTGATATAACATCCAATTAAATGATACAAGTCAATAGCATGTTTGGTCAACCCGACCTAACTCTCTCAATTGTAATTATTTTTTGCATGTGAGATGAAGTAAAAGATGAAAAAATAATTATTTTTTATTATATAATTAAAATAAAAAATCAAAAAACATATTTTGCTAAATGTAATGAGTCAATTTATACTTAAATTGATTTTATTAATTTAATGGATTTATTGCCCATTATATTCTCTGCGAGGAGTGTCGGCCGAAGGGAGCAGGAGACTATGGCCCATGGGCAACGTGGTGCGTTGTGCTGCGAGAAGGGAAAAATAAATGGAAGAAAAAGAAAAATGTAAAAAGAAGAAATGGGACAATAATTTCTGGAAAGCCCCTTTCTCATTCGACGCCAAAAATGTACTTCTTGGTAGCTTTCAATTTACCCTGTACTTTTGCTAAAGTTTTTTTTATCTTTTTCTGTTTTGGCTTGAAGAATATATTAGTGTTTTAACTAAGTCACTCTTTTGAATCTAATTATTTATTTTTAAATTTTAGTATTTAGATTTAATTGCTTAAAATTTTGATTTTTATTAATTATTTAAATATTTTTTCTTCCCCCATAATTTTTTATGCTAAAAAAAATGTTATAACTTATTGAGTATCAGATTTTTTAATTTAATAACTATTGATTTAGCGTAAAAAATACTATTATGTAGTTTGTTTTATTTTAATTGTATATGTTTTTTTTATTTATTGATAGATGGTTGAGTCCATACAAGAGAGAGTACACTTCATTACTATTATTTTTCCAACAAAACTCTATTTGGTGTTCTCTACTCTTATTTATTGTTTTTTTTTTTTTTCCCATTTTGTGTTATAGGGGGAAAAGAATATTTCATTAATTAAACTCCATCAATCAAAACATTCAGCGGTGGAATTGAAAATCATTCATGACATATTGGATTTTCATGTTGAAAACAGTTCACCATCACATGCTCGTTCCAGGTATACTCCTATACACAGTATAATAGACAACAAAAAAAAATTGACTTTAGCAGAGATGAGCTTGACTACACTACCTACATTATTGTTTTATTTCCTCTATTTTTGGGTAATTAGTTGCTTTATTTTGTTAGCATGTCGGCAGAATAGGGTCTGTTTTGTTGTCTTCTTCTTCTGCTTAAGAAGAAGAATTGGAGGTGAGTTGTCTTTGCGCAGCTTCCCTAAATTCTTTTTTGGAAAAGCCCTGAACCAAACGTAGCCTTGGATTTGCACTGTGCAATGCGAATTCGGAGAAACAAACAAACAAGAACCCATGGAAATTCATGTCACTAGTGATTTAATCATTGTCCTTAAACATGTTCTTAAAATTAGAAGAATTCTTGTTTTATGAGTTTAATATAATTTGATTTTAAATTAATTAAAATTTGGTATGATTTTTAAATATTAAAATATTAATATTAAAAAAATTTTATATGTAAAAAAAAAAAAACACTTGTGACAGTATTAGACACACAGCCTATCCCATCGTGCAAACCTCGTCTTTTCTCATTCACTTTTTCATATCCCTATGTTTTTTTGGTTTTTGGTGCTATTTTCCATCTTCCTTTTCAGATCTCACTTTAAATTAATAGAAGACCCATGAAATAGGCCTTAAAATTGTTCATTATGGTCTCTTTCTTTTATAATATTGAGGGATAGAGAATCATGACTCATGTTTTATTGAGAGTCACAAAATAATCAAGCATGGTGGGTTTAGCAGTAAAGTAACTGTTTACATACTGTTTTACAGTGATAATGTTTACAAAGTTAACAAGATTGCCAGACGGCAAGGCCCAGCCTACCGAACTTCTTGTACTTTTCGTAAAATATATTGTATTTAAAAATATTAATTTTGTTTAATTTAATTGATAAAAATAATTAATATTTATAAATTAATTAATAAATTAAAATTAGTAAAAAAAAAAACTACTATTTTCATATATTGTTTAAAAAAATTGAAAAATTAATAGTCGTCACATTCTTTAGGGTGGTAATGAACATAGCCCATGTGACACCTCTAAATAAATTCTATATCAATAAAGCACAGAAAAAATATTGAATATATAAACCAACATTTGTTATCTTCTATTAACATGTTTTAAAACAATGAGATTTGAGGAATCTGACCTTATGAGTCAAGTGGTATTAGTCATTCTTGTAATGTTCATTTTTTCCTCTTCAAGGACAATGGTTCTAGTCAATTCCATGATAAAAATGTTCAAAAAAAAAAAACAATGAGATTTGAGGAGTTGAAATGGATAATATCCATAACGGATTGGGTCGTTATACCCCTCTTACTGTAGGAAGATGCCCTGAAAATGCCTACCAAGTAACCATTTTTGGCTCACTACAAAGTGCAAGAGATCTCCCATTTGTTAAAAACAGGGCAAGATACTAGACAAACAGAAGATAATGTGACACCCAAAATTATGTGTTGTTAGAAGAAAACATCTTGATAATTGTTCAATCAGCCCCACGAACTATTCTTCTCCATATGGCATATTTTTCATCTACATTTATTTATTTATTTTGAATTGAAGAACCATGTACAAAGAAAAAAGGATAAAAAAAATAACGGTTTAAATAATTAAGTGATAATTTTTTTCTGTTGAAAATAAAAAATTCTAAATTTGAATGATATAACATATGAGTAGGGTAAAATAAAAAATTAAAAAAATTATTTTTTATTATGCAATCAATATAAAAAAATGTTAAAAAAGATAAAAGGATAAAAGAAGATGCTTTTTCTTTGTAGGATGGGCAAAGGCATAAGAGGTCCGGTCTTCAATAGCAAAATGAGGAAATATGGAATACAGTCTATTAGCACTTCCCCTGCCTCTATATATACAGTCCCACTCTCTCACTTCTCAAAGCAAAAATCCCAGTCCTTTTTCTTGCACAAGCACCATGAAAATTCACCTCTTTACTCTAGCCATCCTCTGTTTTTCCCTATCCCAAGGGCTGAACCAGAACCCTAAATGTGAGACCCAAGACCACGGCTCAACCCTCCGAGTGTTCCATATCTATAGTCCATGCTCACCCTTCAGACCCTCCAAACCACTCTCATGGGAAGAGAGCGTGCTCCAGATGCAGGCCAAGGACCAGGCCAGGCTCCTGTACTTTTCTAACCTGGTGGCCAAGAATTCCGTTGTGCCAATTGCTTCGGGGAGGCAGACTATACAGAGTCCTACTTACATTGTCAAAGCCAACATTGGAACCCCACCACAGACATTGCTCATGGCCATGGACACCAGCAATGATGCTTCTTGGATCCCCTGTACAGGCTGCCTAGGCTGCTCCTCCTCCGTTTTTAACACCAACAAGTCCACCACTTTCAAGCCTCTTGGCTGCCAAGCTCCTCAATGCAAGCTGGTGCCTAACCCCACTTGTGGTGGTGCCTCCTGTAGCTTCAACATGACATATGGAGGCTCTACCATTGCTGCAAACCTCTCACAAGACACCATCACCTTAGCCACCGACCCTGTTCCTGGCTACACCTTCGGATGCATACAGAAGGCCACAGGCAGCTCGGTGCCGCCGCAGGGCTTGATGGGTCTTGCCCGAGGGCCATTGTCGCTTCTGTCACAGACACAACACCTCTACCAATCCACATTTTCTTATTGCTTGCCTAGCTTTAGGTCTCTGAGTTTTTCTGGGTCATTGAGACTTGGACCAATTGGGCAGCCTAAGACTATCAAGTTCACACCTTTGCTCAAGAACCCTAGAAGATCGTCGCTGTACTACGTCAATTTGGTCGCAATAAGGGTCGGAAGGAAAATTGTTGATATTCCGCCTGCTGCTTTGGCTTTCAATCCCAACACCGGCGCAGGCACCATCATTGATTCCGGTTATGTTTCTTTCTTTCTCAGAAATTGATTCACTTTCTCCTGGATTTTAGCACTAAAAAAATTTTTGTTCTTGAATTTAGGCACGGTCTTCACACGACTCGTAGCGCCGGCATACACTGCGGTCCGCGATGAGTTTCGGAGGAGGATAAGAGACGCAAACAGGATAAGGATAAGAAACGCAAACGTGACATCTCTGGGCGGGTTCGACACTTGCTACTCCTTCCCAATCGTAGCACCTACGATGACATTCATGTTCGCCGGAATGAACGTGACGCTGCCACCTGACAACCTGCTAATCCACAGCACCGCCGGAAGCATCACGTGCCTGGCCATGGCCGCAGCGCCGGACAACGTAAACTCGGTGCTGAATGTGTTCGCCAACATGCAGCAGCAGAACCACAGAATCCTCTTTGATGTGCCCAATTCGAGGCTGGGTGTCGCCCGTGAACTCTGCACCTAGAAAAATTTAAAAACAGCGGCACATTGAGATGGGACGGCGTCCCATTTCACTCAGATGTTAAGACTGGTGTGGGGATTGTTGGTTCCTTTAGGAAGGTGCTGTGCTGTGACTAACTTTATGGGAAGGGGTGGATTTTGGATAAGTGGATGAGTCACGGGTTGTCTGTACCTCTTTTGTCTTTTTTTCTTATGTTGATGATTAGGTTGCACTATGACTTGTGTCACGGGGGTCGGGCTGTGTCATTTACCTCCAACATTTTATCTCTACTTATTTTAGTTAATAAAATATTTTTCACGTATTTTCACATTAAAAAAAAAAACTATTACTAATTTAAATTGCACCGAACGAAGGAATAAATTTTATATTAGAATTAGTGTGTAATGTGTATTAGATTAGATTTTTTAAAAAATAGAATCTCAATTTAAATTTAAAAATTAAAATTTTAATTTAAAATTTAAAATATAATTAATTTTTGAATTTAAATATTAATATTTAATAAG